TTTGAAACGATAGACTTTTATAAAAAAAAATTAAAAAATTAGAAAAACCGAAGAGAATACACAAATACAACTAGCAACGGCCAAAAGCTAAATCTAGTCGGAGGACATTCCATACGGGAGTCTAGGCTACCACAACACACTCACAATAACACAATAACAAAAACTCCCAACAGAAAAATACACAACCCCCAACAGGAGAATACACAGGTCCCAACAGGATAATAAACATACAATAAAACCAAATACAGAGAAACACAGAAAAATCATAACCTACACACAAAACCAACCCTAAAAACAAAATAAAAAAAGCCTTTCTCGCAGACGGACAAAAGCACCAAAACCACGACCACAACACAATAGGCCGACCACCTATTCGGACTGGATCTCGCCCCTAGTCTTAGAACCAGAAACTGCAACGCCCGCCTAACTGGAACCAAAATCCACGAACTCGAAACCACATCCAGGCGACCGAATTTGTTAGTTTAATTAAGTTGAGTACGAATAACTAATCGAGTTCTGAATTCGTCCCCGAACAGTTCATTTTTTTAACCTTTTTAGGTTCTAAATAAAATAATTGTGACAATATGAACTAGCATTTTATGTTGACAAATTAACAACTCCTTCAAGTATTTAGGTTTATGCAATGAATTAAAACGAGGCGAGCCATATCTTCACAAACTTAAATAAGTCTAGCTCAAATCAAACATTTTATTCATCATTAAACGAGCACAAGCTTGAACATGGACTTATGTCCGACTCAAATAACATATCTCTTTTGGCTATTTAGAGTTTAAAAAAAGAAAAAAAAAATGCGTTTTTGGAAATGTGCATTAATCATTTTTATGTCATTTAACATAAGTGCTTTAAACTAAACTACATTTCCTCATTGAATGTCATATGACTCGTAGTTTGATTTTATAATGTATTCGATATGTATCATAAACTAACTAATAGTTTATTTATTTAATTTATAAACTTTTTACAAGTACAACTCTCGTGTATTACATGGGTGCTTGTTAAAAAATTGTTCATAAATTTTAAAATTAATGAGAAAAATTATTTTAAATTTTATTTACTTTTTTACATAAAATATATATTATTATATATTTTAGAATGTCATTTGTTACTTGTGTGGCTTACATGTGTCATATTATAGTAATTTTTATAAAGTTAAATGTTTGTCCCATTTTTGTTGCGTTTTTTCTTGTTATTTTTTTCTTTGTTTTCCCCCATATTAGGTATTGATTTTTAGTTCATTATGTAATTTATTTCGTTGTTCGCTTTATTTCGATCCTTCTTGTGTTTTTCGGTTGTTTTCCGGTTTTTTTCTCGTCTTTGGTGTGCAGGTTGGAAAATTCATGAGGATCTATTTTTCACGATAAATTGGCCGGGGGAACATAATTAGATAGGGTGTTTCGTTGGCGACACACAGAAAAAAGGGAACCAAATTCGGAGGTCGGACGAGCTCAAACGGATATGATGCGCGAAGTAATGCATTTAGACCCGAGTTGTCCAATCACCGCGCCGCGGCAGTCCGAGCTCGACATACGCACCGCGCTGCGCAAGCACC